TTATCGGAAAGGGGAAATGAGAGGGAAGGATAAACAGCTTCCTTTAAAAATACAAAAAAACATTCAGCACATTGTGTAAACTTTTCATATACACACAGACATACAGACATAAATATGTGCATGGCTGTATTATGCATATATGTTTATGTGAACAGGCACACCCATTTGAGAGATCTCTGTAAAAAGTCAAAAAGCTGATTTTTTACAGGATGTCTTGAAAAACTTTTTTTTTCTTTGCTATAGTCTGTCAAACAAGAATTTGTCTGATTATACTAATTATTTTCCACGTAGGCATGTTTCAGTTATAGAGATTACACCATTTGTCATGCCATGTTTTCATATAAACCATACATTGTGCCACAATTTTATCTTTATTGTATTTCTATCGTGTAAGTATCTTCTAATTTTGTAGTTTTCACTTGAGGATTTATTGTGATACTGATTTTTCTATGGTTAAAAAAACTCTTAAAGGAAGAAACTTCATTAAACTCCAAATCTGATATAAATTACATAATATTTAACACATTACCCACAACACTGAAAAACAAAATGCAACCAAAGTTTGATTCCACAGAAATTTAACATGCTCATTCAATAAGGAAAAATACCTTGACAGAAGGGCTTAAGCTGTGTCATGCACACATAGAGGTCATATGTTACCTAAAAGCACATGCATTTATTCAAATTGAAATATGGTGTGTGGCCATGGACTTGATGAAACTTTACTCTCACTTAAAATACTACATTGTCTGCAAATATAAATATATGAGCATGTAGCATGTGTTTGAAGCTTATTGGGTTAGTCAAAGCCCTTGCTGATATTAGTAATGCAGCATATCACAGTGAGTGAGCTAAAGAAATATCCTGGAAACTCCAGGAATAGGTAAGATCTCACTTTCAAGCCTAATCAGACACCTTTTTCTAAACACTCAATGACTCCTAAACCTTTGGAACTGCTGTAAAATGGTTGTTTTGCCTTTATGTTTGTTTGTTTGTATCAATGCATGTATTTCAGTTATTTTGTTTTGATTCACAGACTCCAGATGAAATACTTTTTAAAAATGAAAAGTTATGTTTCACTTATATAAAGGACCTAAGGCACAGCCATTCTAAATGTTTTCAAGATAAGAAGCCTACTGCACATTGGAGAGATAGTAAAGTGGGTGGTTAAGAGCACAGCTCTGAAACAGAGAGCATCTGTTTCAACTTCAGAGCTACCATTTATTAGCTGAATAAATTGGGGCAAATTGCTTTATTTCCCCATGCCTCAATTTTCCCATTTGTAAAACAGATATAATAAGACATCATCTCGGCCAGGCGCCATGGCTCATGCCTGTAATCCCAGAACTTTGGAAGGCCAAGGCAGGTGGATCACCTGACATCAGGAGTTCGAGACCAGCCTGACCAACATGGAGAAACCCCGTCTCTACTAAAAACACAAAAAATGAGCTGGGTGTGGTGGCACATGCTGTAATCCTAGCTACTCAGAAGGCTGAGGCAGGAGAATCACTTGAACTCAGGAGGCGGAGGTTACAGTGAGCTGAGATTGCACCATTGCACTCCAGCCTGGACAACAAAAGAGAAACTCTGTTTAAAAAAATATTAAAAATAAATAAATAATATCTCATGGGGTTGTTGTAAATACTAAATATGTGTTTTCTGTTATTAACAACTCATATAAGATTCCTTGAAATAGGTACATATTAAGCTGTGACCTGAAAAAGACAGCAGTAGGTGGCAAGTAATCCAAATTTCTTCATAGAAATGGGATCTATTATTAAATAATATTAGCATTATCTTCACATTTTCTGTGCTGATATCTATCTATATATGTACCTTTCATAAATTGTTCTCTAATGAGATGATTTATTTTCTTCAATTATAAAATCAATAGACCTTTTTACAAAAATGGGGTTTTATCTATCTTTGAGTTAGATGCCTATAGCACATAGAATGAGGATTAAGCTAATGAGTCAAAGGTGTGTTTCTAATGAAAAAGTATTGCAAAATGCGGAGCCATTCACAAGACCAGAGAGAAGGCCCTCCAGCAGAGAGACCGACTGATGCAGGAACAAGGGCCCAGCCATGCCTGAACTATGGTAAAATGTCCTTACGCTGTCATCAGAAGTTGCCTTATCTATTATCACCTCTGGCAGAAGCTGTCCATTGGGGAGCATGAGGGCTGAGCGTCCATCAACCAGGGAGACCACACCATTGCAGTCCACAGCACTGTGCATCTTCCCATTCACTGGCAGCATTGGGGAGGACCTACTGGCTTGACTGATGTTACTGCTGCATCTCTCAGGGGGTCTGTGGGGCACGAACAGTGAGCCCCTTCTGCTCTCATTGTCTCCAAAAATGCTGTGCTCATCATCAGCAAATTCAGTCTCAGATCCTACATCTCTTCCTCGGCCCTTGAAACTGAAAAGGCTTGTTCTGCTGCTTCGCCTTGCAGAAAACAAGGAGCCACGAATGCTGAGTGGTGACTACAGGAAAATTAAAAAAAGACATATTTGTTGAAGCGCCTACTAATAGAAGCACACTTCATGTAAATATCACTGAACATGCTGGCCTGAGGGCAGATGTCTCTGTAATAGCTTAAAAGAAACATACTTAAAAACAAAGCAATTCAGTGAGAAGAAACCTTCCACTTAAGGGATGAAACGATTTGTAGAATTCATCCTTTGAGGACCAGGTAAATTATTTGTTGCTGTACAGCTCTCGAATATTCTGGTCTAGAGTATTGCTCCATTCTTTTAATGCCATTCATTTTGCTGTACAGAACATATCACTTAAAGAAAAAGAGATTAGTATTGCTACCTGTCATTCAGCTTTTTATATTTCAATCCCTAAGAGTGACAAAAAATGGAAATTTACTTATAGTCAACGACCATGCCGTATGGTTCTTTGCATTGCAAATCCATCTTACATACTGAGAGCTCAGTTAAAGTGTATTTAAAAAGAACTTTTAATACCAGTAAGTATATAAAGTCATTAAATATTTAAAAAGAAGTTGCCCAATACCAAAGAGGCGGAAAAATTCATGCTTATATGACTCATGTCCAGGATAAGCTTTTTCCATAAATCAAATTGAATGCAAATTCTTTGGAAGGATCTAGTTCAATAGACATTAGTGCTTACTATGTAAAGAACAAAGTGGTAAGTATTGTGAACAATGGAAAATTATGACAAGGTATTTTCCTCAAAACCAGCTTGGACTGCTTCTGTCATATTTCTTTTTCTTGATATATATGTTCAAATTCTGTATCATCATCTAGGTAGTGAAATTTTGAAGGCAGGGACTCTATCTTTTATTACTGTGTATATCAGGCAGAATCTTGCAGATTCTTAACTAGATTTTTATTTTAGAAAAATGATTTTTGGGGTTGTGTGATGGAAAACGGGGGAGTGCTAAGGAAAATAGAGGCAATGGTTCATCTTGGAGGCTTGTGGAGAACTATAGGCAGGGTGGCCTAAGAGATGAAGGTTTCAGTGAAAAAAGATAGAAAGAGAAAGAGAACTTCCATGTAAGCAGAATTAACAGACTATGGCACTACATATTAGTAGTTCCTGTGGTTGAGGGTGGAGGATATCAAAGGCTTCTGCAAATTTCCAAATGGGTGCGTGATACTCAGATAATACCATTACCTACAGTGGTTAAGAAAGAAGAGAGACTGCTCTCGGATTAGTTTTTAACCAATGAGGCATTATAAATCACAGACTAAATACAAATATAAAAGTTATTCTATAGTGTGAATAGTATCTTTATTTCTACAATGTTTCTCAGGAGTATTTTGTTTTTGAAAATGAGTTATTAGAAAAGACATTGACAATTCTGAAACTATAAGATCTTTCAGAAATGATCAAACTTAAATGGAAACCTGAGTACATCTTTCCATAAATGCTCAGCGATAATAAGTTTTTACCTAAAATCATAACAATGGAGCCACTCACTATCCACTATCATCTGAGGTCTCTTACCTCCAAAGACTTTTCTCTATCATTCTGCCTCTGGTGATACACATTTAGCAGTTTGGGTGGTACCTGATTGGGGGTAGATAATCTCTTTTCCTGTGCTCGCCTATGCCCTTCAACACCAAGGTGGAAACTTTTTCTTCTGATGCTCTCCTCTGATTCTGATTTGGACAATTTCTCAACATCTCCCTTTTCTTCTCCACTGGAGAGCTTCTTTTGGTTCTTTTTCTTTCTTCTGTTTCTTCTTTCTTTAGCACTTTTAGAGCTCAGTTTGGATGTTTCAGAAGAACTCTCTGAAAGGCCCATAATTCTGCTTCTCCCAATGCTTGTATATTCAGCTGCTGCTGCTGCAATTGCCTGGGTGGGCCAAGAGGTTAACACTTAAACGAGTCATTTCCAAATCCTGGGAAACCCTAGGACAGGACATATTTCGCCTACCAGTGTAACTACATGGTACATATAATTATGTCCTTTAAACATGAAATGATCGTTTTCTTTATACAATGACCAGAATGCTTACAAAGTATATATTTGTTTCCTGTCTCAGGTTGAAATGAAGCTCTATTTTGTTTTGGAATTAAACTATTATATGTCATTAATTTGCTTACAGTAAAGAAATATTAAATATTACATGTTAAACTTTCACAAGGTAATTCTGAAACATAAAACTCACATAAACCATGTAATAAGATAGACAATTTGCATATAAGGCAATTAACTCAATATTATCAATAGAATCAGGCACTCTATGGTTTAATAAAGATTGAGTTATCTGAAAAATAAGTAAATTATTAAAAAATGATACTGTAAGAAAATGGTAAGGTCAATGACTACTAGCCTGAAAGAAATTTCTGGGAATTCTCTAGGTAGTACCTGGTATAACCTAGTACTATCCCTTTACAAAAATGTTTTGATTATAAACATTAAAAAATTCTTGTAAAAAAAACTGGGAAATAAAGATGTGAATGAAAACAGAAAAATCACCTTACATCCCAAAAATAATTGGTGCTAATATTTCTTCCATTCTTTTTATATGTATGTACAATTTTAAAATTGAGATTGTATTCAACTATAGTATTTATCATTATTCTAAAAGGTTTTTTCCTAATGGCATAATAATTTTTTTAAAAATACATAATTTTATGACAAAATAATACCATAAAAGATATACAATTTTCATACCTTTTTGTTATTTTTTAATTTTTCAAAGTTTAAATGTTTTCTGATTTTTACCATTATTAAAATGCTGCACTGAATATTTGTGCATTAGAGTTTCTCTGAATTACAGATGATTAATCTCCCCTAACACTAGATTCCTTGAAGAGATTTAACTAGGCCAAACTAAGACAAATTTTAAGATACCTGCAGTATATTTGAAATTATGTTTCTTTTAGTACAAGCCTTCTCAAACATTTACACTGAAGAACCTCTTTGGAGACAGGATTAAGGAGGAAACTTTCAAGGATCTGTGACAGCCTAAAGTAGCCACACCAAAATTATTACTTTCTTAATATCTCATGCTTTATCTTAAAAATCCTTGTGACATTAAGAAAAAATGACACACCATTTTCTTTATACCCCATAGAAGAGTATCTTTTAATTTTAATCTTAAAATATTTTTCCTGAAACCATTTTATATAATCGGTACTCTGGGGAAATGCACTGTGTGTGTGTCTGTGTGTGTGTGTGTGTGTGTGTGTGTGTGTGTGTGTGTGTG